CTAAATCCAATTGTGTTTGTAGTGACAACCCTGGTTCTCACTAATTCTATTGGCTGATAGCCACAAGAAGCCAAAATTATACTATATCTAGTTATCTTAGTAATATCTGCGAATTTAATAAATAACAAATACCCTTATATTTAAGAAATATCAACCAAAATAAATATAAGTACGTTTCCATCTCCCAAACCATTGTCTCGTTCACAGAAAACACATTGAACGTATTATTACTAGCGATGCTCATGTTACTTACACTGGAATGTAAAATGCTAATAAAATGGCGAACTGCGAGTTATAAATTATAGGTTTATTATTTTATACCAACCAAACCGGAAAGAATGACAAGATCTTTAGGCAACATTTTAGACAAGTTATTGCACAAAGGAGCGTTACGCTCAATTTGACAAATAGATCGTTATATAAAAAAAAAGGTTTATATGTACGTGTGTGATTTTTGTATATTTCTTCTTTACAGAATGCTCAGCTTTTGTAGGTTTCAGATTCATAAACTATTGAAAATGCGGCGCTATTGTTCTTACTATCGCCGTTCTTACTAGTCGACGTTAAGCGAGTGCGTTTTTTAGGAGCAAAATATTAAACCGCAACAAAATTACTTACGCTCCGCCAGTACTTCACTGAGGATACTGACATGATGTCAGTTAAGCTGTATTTTAATCTTTCTTTTAAATGATTAACAGCAGTTACAATTAAAAATAATAATAAATAAATAATAAAAATGTTTATTTCATCATCATCATCATTCATGTTTATTTAAAATGATACAATATTTACGAATAAGATAAGTACATATAGAATGTAAAAATCTCTATGAAGTTTTGTTTAGTTTGTCAGATGTGTTGATACGTGATAAACACAGAAATAAGTACTATTCAAATCGAATTTTATTCTTTAGTAGACTTCACTATAATATTTTTAGAGTTAACGCATCTTTCCGATTTGGCCGATAGACAAGATAACACAACAAACAGACAGTTACAAATAACAGAATTTTATCATTCTAATTAATTGTCGAAAAAAAAAAATGTTTATAAGAAAATAAATGTTTTCACTAAATAAAACTGAGTGTAGTAACCTTAAAACTAAGTGCAAAATGTAAATAATATGACAATTTATTTATAATAAATAAAACATTCAAAATTTTATTTCTAAATGCATATGACTTATGCAAAAGTTTAGTTCAATATAATATAATGATTTATAAATAACAAAAATGTTAAGAGTAAGAGACAAAATATACATTTTTTTTGACTTTGTGTGCATGTTGCCATGTGCTAGATATTGTACATTCTAAAACGTTCGACAAATATCAACATTTAATTTACGAAATTGTATCGACTGTAGAGATACCTCTACACTCGATGCATCAGACATATCGGTAGTCAATATTTGGTGCCTAAAAATGTGAATACAAGTAATTAACATACTAATTGAGTATTAAACATTAATAAAAAGCATTTTAAAGAATAGTACTTACATTTTTAATTATACAAACATCCTTCGATACAGATTTAATTATTATAATGGCTGTACGCAGTCATGTGTTTCCCGCTTCTTTCAACCGCATGTTAGAAATAAATATAATTTTAATCAATAATAATGCATTAGATACGATAAGCATTTAATTTTATAGAAAAATAATAGGTAAATGACATCATTGCTTATTGAAACAAACAAAAACGCCCTGAAAAATAGTTCTTAATTCTTTTAAAACAGAAACTATCTATACTCCTTAATATTTAAATGAGATTACTATTCGATCAGTTTATTGCTGGCTATCGATCAAAATTTAAAATGTTACAAGCTATTTAATTTTGCAAGTATTTAGATTATTTTCGCGACTTGTATGGGTAGAAAAAAAAATGGGTAGACTGTTAGTGTTGTGCTCATATCGGGCAACACTCAAAATTTTTTTTTGTAACTTTAAAACTAAAATGCGTTAGTGTGTTTGTTTAAATGTCAAAATATATTAATTACTCGATCAATCATCGTGAAAATTAGCAAAAACTTAGCAATTGTTGATTACAGCATAGGTCATAGTCATCTATCTAAGAATAGGATGGTAATATTAAAAGAAAACTAAGTAGTTATGTGCTACCTACTTAAGCACGCTGTCTACGCCTTTTAGTTTCGAAAATCTTGTTATTCCTGATAATGCACAACCAAGTTTATATGTATATTGTATTCTGGTTTAATAAAAACATACACGTATATAAATAAACTGTAGTGTAATTTCAAATCGATTTATAAAGAATGTTAGGAGAGATATTGATCGGATTATTTTTAACATGGCTGATTGGTTAGCAATAAACTGACCGAGATGAGTTTAACATTTGACATAAGTACAGTATTGTTTAATATTCAATTATGTGGGACACTAGGGTTGACTAGTTTTCGTCACAGAAACGTGTCTTAAGCTAAGAGTACAATGAACAACTATAATTATAAGTTTGTGCCGTCCCACTTTGTTAATTATTGGAAGATAAGCGTTTAGGGTACAGTACTTTGAACTGTAGAAATTTCTGGCAAGAACGCAGAAAAGAAGCAATCGTGTTCCATTAAGCCAATGATTAAGCAACTAATGTTGTGTTATCAGACTTAATTTGTTTTTAATAAAAAGTGTGTTTAGTGTTGCAGAAATAAGTTGCTGTACATTTACGGTATTTACGGAATAAATATTAAATTAGGATTTTTTTTCACTTTTTCAAAAAAACTTTGAAGTCTGAAATATTTTCAATATTTTTCAATTTTTGTTATATGATTTCAATGAGTTAAAAAGAAACAATTTTATTAGAAACAAAGGAACAACTAAAGAAGTCAACTTTGAACATTGGATGAGTGTACAAGTAGTGTCGTAACTTTCAAAAGACTGACGATTTATATACAAAACATGAAAACTAAAATAAAAAGGATGTTACATGATTTTGGGAAAGGTCGTTGGAAAGTACTTAATATTATAAAATAGAATCCTCTCAGATGAACTATTTCCGTAGTAACACTAATTCAAAATAAAATCATCGTGTTTATTTATAATATACGGGCCAAAAGCAGTCACCTGACGTTTTTTGTGCGAGTTTATTTCACATCTATTTGATCGTCACAGTGACCGTGTTCGGCGCTTGCGATTGGCCCGCACTGAAAGAAAGAAAGAAAGAAAGAAAGAAAATACGAAAAATAGAAAAAAAAAAATAGAAAATACTGAAATCTTCACCAATCGCAACGCGCGCCGAACGCGCCGACGAGAGCGAGTTGATGTGACTACCGTAACCTACACCTGCAACACGAGTCATAAGTATGTTGCCGTCCTTTACACCCCCCTCCCCCCTTTCTTTCAGAAATAGTATTAGTCTTACTGTATCCTCACTCACTCGGTGAAAAGCAACGACAGAACCGCTTAACACCGGTTTTCTGTGAGGCCGAAGTCACTCCGGTTGAGCCTGCCCCTGTTTTTATGTGCTAAAGAATGACTAATACAGAAAAATTTCATATCTATACTATTATAAATGAGAAGGTGTACCTGTCTGTCTGTTCAGGCTTAAACCGCTGAACCGATGTAAATGAAATTTAGTATAGACATAGTTCGAGACCCAGGAAAGGATATATGATACTTTTTATCAGAAATCGTACTTTAAGGGGGTGAAAAGGGGGGTGGAAGTTTGTATTCTCGATATAAACGATTCAGATGAAAGGTACGGAGATAGTTTGATTCTTGGCGAAAGACATATGCTACTTTTTACCGCGAAAACCGCCGTACACGCGGGCGAAGCAGAGGGAAAAGCTAGTACCTTTATAAAATTGATGGTCGACAAACGTGGCCGTGTTGTACTTTAAGGACTTTAAATGGATGAGTCGGAATCATGATAATATAAGTTTATTGATTGCTGCACGGATGGCGTAGTGGTTTAAGCGGGAAACTCGCCGCTTGCTACTGCGTTGAGTGTTGTGAGTTCGATCTCTATACATATTTATATCAGTTGTTTAGTACCCATAGTACAAGCTATGCTTAGTTTGGGACTACATAGCGTTGTGTGAATGTGGTAGAATATTATTATTGTAACACATTACACGTCGACGTCTTCTATAGACTAGTGTCAATTGTTAATATATTGTTATAGTGGGAGTCCCAAGTCAATATCAAATAAAAAGTAAACGTACGGTGAAAATATCTAGGTTAATGTCACATCATTAAAAAAGTGTTACGAAAACAATTGATCTGACAGGAGGCCTCAATCACAGATATTCACTAGAAACTAATTTCATAATTTGCAATATAATTTCGTTGCAAATTGGCAGAGATAGATAAATGGTCCAATCGATATGGTTATTCGATGTGCAATACAATACTAGTATTCTCAAAACTATAATTAGGGTGGGGTAAATAGGGTAAATCGTCAGTCTCGAAAGGTATGGTTCAGTCCGTTTTATCAAAGTTGACCCTGTATCCAAAGTCCACGGTGTTGTTGTCGCCCATGTGGTCAGTTTTACCCCACGCATCGTAGACTTTACGCAGAGCAAACGTCGAAACTGACCCGCACTGGCAACGTATCTTAGTTTAACTAACGTGGACAAAACTATAAACAGGCTTAACGTTAAAAACAAACAATTTAATAATTCACAAACCATATTTAAATTATTAATAAAATAGAAAATTAAAGTCACAACAATTTCTTTTAGAAAAACATTACTTTCAGTATATAATAATACGTCATACAAAACAGATTTCACAAACCTCTCTCGGCTTCGGTGGGATAGTATCTTGACCTCGATTGAAAAATTTCTGCTAGACTGATAACATAATTGTGATACAATATAGGACTGGTGAACGGGGTTTAACGGAATGTTTATAGGGTTTAGCTGGGTGTTTTGGCGGTTCAACAGAGTGTTTCGGGGGTTTAGCTGGGCGTTTTGGGGATTTGAGAGGGTGCTTTGGGGGTTTAACAGGGTGTATAGGGGGTCTGTGTGTATATGACGCAAAGTGGGCGCTAGCGGTCGGTAGCGCGGCTATGCGGCGCGCGGCGTGCAGGCGCGCGGGGGGTGTCACCGCGCGGCACCCCGCGCCCCGCGCCGCCCCGGCTTGCCGCGCCGGTTGAAGCCTCTGCGGTTAATCGTATTATTGTTATCAATCACATTTCGGAATACTGTAAATATGCTATGCACATGAAGTGTCTCAAAATCGTTCTCCTATTCCTTGTCATTTGCGAGCGAACTATAGACCGAAGTAGATTAGATTTCTTTGTTCCCTTAGAGCTGTCCAAGGACTAATCTAAGGTACTAACCCCTTTGGTGTCCTTGGACAGCTCTTGAAAATGAAAATGCTCAAGTTTCCATTACTACGTCAATTTCGTTCAGTATTTTTAAACCATAAATTCGCCCTGATACAAACGAAATCATTTAAATTTTTAATTGCCTATGACAATTGCGTGTCAAGCACAAACCTATACATTAATTGTGTGAACTGAGTTCAAGGCCACCTTGTGGGTAGACCAACCACAAGGTGGTCCGACGACCTGGTTGAGGGTCGCGTGCCGATGGATGTGGACACAAGTAGTTTTGGAGAACCTTGGGAAGGCCTATGTCTAGCAATGGACGTCTTTCGCTTAATATCATAATGATGACTAAACCTAAATGAGAGGGAGGTGCTGCTTAGTAAGTCGCTAAGAATACGTACAATGTAGTACACACACAGAAAACTAAAAAAAGATTTAAAATCATACCTATACGGGCCGCGATATACTGGACGAGAATTTGGCGATCCTGGTGTGGAATTACCATTAGAGCCATTTCCATTTTGGCGTTCCACAATGGCTTCAACCTTCACTTCTTGAGAAGCGCCAGGTGATCCGTTTGTTGCTTCTTCTTGCTACAAAATAAAGATATTGCATACTAAACATTTTTTTATTGAAATTGTGATTATGAGAAACTACTGGTAGAATTTAAAATTCATTCAGGCTTGAGGATTACGACCAGTAACGATATTACGTCAGTGATATTTTGCATTTTAGCTACGAATGTTCGTTCAAGTTCGACTTGTTGGGCAAGATTCAGATGGCTGTCTTGAGTCAGCCGGATTTCATGAGAGCCAATCTAGTGCTATATCCAATGCTAATCTAGCCTATCTAGATAATCGAGTTAGTACAAAAGTAGAGTCATTGGCAAAGTAACTTAAAAATATTTCGATTATTATTATTTAAAAGAAGACAGCGCTAACGTCTTTAGAAGACATGACTTACGGGATAGGTAATTATCGATATGCGACCTGATGTGGACCTTATTCTATTAGAACAGAAGTTGGTATTTCTTTAAATGATTTCTTCTGATCTGAACAATTAATATTGTATGGTGAAGACAAGATTTAAGTACATTGTGCTACTTAAAACATAAGTAAATATTTAGTAATTCAAAGTAATTATTTAACTCTGTAAAATATTAATACGTACAATTTCATTATCAGCGGGTGTGGTGATTGTAAGTGGTGGTGGTCCCGTATCGCCAACACCCACCACGCCGCCCTTTGCCACCTGTTGAGCTAGAAGTGCCGCCATTTTTCTTTGAAGATCCTGAAATTATTATTTTTTATGAATGTATACATACAGACGAATGATGTGTTATATTTTTATAAGCGTTAGTTTTATTCGGTGTATAGTACAATTTGTTTTTTTTTAGTATGGAGCAACTTTCTGAGCATTTTCTTTTTAATTATAATGTCAATTTTCTAGTATGGCCATTACTTACTTTTAGTTCAGCAGTCAAACAAAATGGCGGTGCTGTAATGGAATCCATTGGTGGTGGTGCTTTCTTCAGAGTGTCAACATCACACGAGACAGGACAACGACACACTGGGCATGTTTGCTGTAAATAGACATCAACAGGGTCACCTTACATTATAAGTTAGTCAATAATTATTTTTTAGTAATTAACCAATTGTTTCTTTTTAATTCTGTTCAAAAGCAGAAAATCATCAGCATTCATCAATATATGCTACAAACACATGTTTTATTTTTTTAGTACGTTTTCAAATGTTACAGTGCTCAAAAAATTAAGAACACTTGCATTACATTATTTTTTTTAAGGCAGCGGGGGCAAACAAGCAGAAGGGTCACCTGATGATAAGTGACACCTAGAATTGAAGCCACTAGTGCATTGCAGCCCTTTGAACTCCTCCAGAAATAGGGGAAAGGAGGGGGTTTGGTCTCCGATAACCCCTCTCACTTGTCAACAGCATAAGCAACATAAGAATTATCCATCACTAATTTTCTGTGACTGTGTGACTCTGATCGAGCTAGCCCATAACTTACATAGTTTTAATTTTATCGTAATTACGTTTAATTCGTCATCGTTAATCACATCACACATCACATCAACAGCCTTTAGTAGTCCACTGCTGGACATACATTAAAATATATTATATATTTATAATTAAACCTCCCTTCAAGGTAAGTCTATGTCCAGCAGTAGACCATTAAAATGTGTGATGTGCCTCAGAATTTATTACATATAATATTATATTATTATTGGAAAATATTATAACTAGCTTCGAAAAAAATATTATTTTTACATTTAGTGTAAATAAATAAAAGTTAATATAAGAAGAGTTGTTATACAGTGAAGGTAGTAGGGGTAGAATTTGTCCATACTATCTTTACTATATAACATGTCCTCAAAATCCCTGAAATCTAATTATAATAATAACTAGCCGAGACAACAAACGAGGGTAACACCGCGGGTGTTACCCTCGTTGTTGTTATAACCGTGGGCAACGCCGCGGGGAGAAGCTAGTCTAAAAAAAGTAGCCTAAGTTAGTCCTTATGTCATCAGCTATCTGCCAGTGAAAGTCCCGTGGAAATCGGTCCAGCCGTTCCAGAGATTACCCGGAACAAACAGACAGACAGACAAAAATTGTAAAAAATGTTATTTTGGCATATGTACCGTGTAAACATACATATGCATTTAGTAAAAAGCGGTTATTTTAATATTACAAACAGACACTCCAATTTTATTTATTTGTATAGATAATACAGAAAGTTTTCAGATCTAAAATTAGAAAGTGCAAGAATGTGGCACCTAAACACAGGTCAATATTGTTCCTATAGTCCTATCAACTACATTTGTAATCCCAAGACAACTTCACCATTCAATAAAAATGTTAGATTTACTCATAACTTTTTTACTTACTTTTACTTGAACACCTGTAGATTAGTAAGAAAATTTTTACAGTCACACAGTCAAGCAAATACAACAGACACACAATCATGTCTTAGTAGAAATGATTTACACATTAAGAATATTACCCGCATAGAGTAACACTTGGCTTCGGCCTGGATCAGACACCAGCATTAAGCTGATATTAAAAATATACAAAAAATAATAATAATAATTAGGACATCTGACACACAACATCATCTTGTTTCAAACTAAGCAGAGCTTTTACTATGAAAGTTAGATTGACTGATAGAATACTTATCTACTTATTTTTGTTTTTTGTAAATACATACATATTATACATAGAAAACACACAAACGCCGAAACAAATATTTGCAGATCACACAAACATTTGGTCCGACCCAGGAATCGAACCGGAGACCTCAGCACAGAATTCTCATAAACTACCACTGCGCCACAGAGGCAGTCCAATTCACGGCGGCAGTCCAGTCAAATTATGTTTCCTATATTGGACTAAGTCCTATCTCATTCTTGTCTCCTGTGCTTTTTTCCCTTAATTCTTCAGTATCTGATGCATCAACTTATGTAAATATACCTGATAAGGAGGTGCTGATACTTGTTGCCAAAGCGGTATCTTTTCTAACTCTTCCTGGTAGTACCTACGACCAGCAATTAGATGATTAGCAAGACAATGGCTGTGGAAATGATGATAACACTGCGTTTTGATGAATACATCCCCTTCAGTGAAGCCATACAAGCAAATAACACATTGACCACTTGGCAAGTTGCTTTCTGTGAGATTTTCTCTGATAAGCTGCAACAAATTACATAAAGATGAATAAGTTAAAAAGATAGTTACTACAATTTATTATATACATTTGTGTTGCTAGCAATATTAATCAACATATAATGTAATCCATATTTATAAATGTGATAGTGTGGTTGTTTGTTTGGTGAAATAACTTTTTAATTTGGTTTACTGGCTTAGGCACGAAAGCAAAACAAACAAACCAACTCACTTTCACATTTATAAGTATGAAATTTAACTTTTATTATAAGTTCTTTTTTATTATAATATTATAGACGTGGTCAGATATTTACGGCAGATGTGTAATGGGATTGTATGTCAACCATGTGATCTGTGATCAGGTTGACCTATTACAGACACTGGTGTCTATAACTTGTGTAAATATTGACTCTGTGATGTAATTATGTAATGATGAAAGAATGGTCAATACAAGACAACATTTTGTACAAGAAATCAGCTTATGCAGATTCAAAGTATATAATATTTTGTGTAAATAAACATTTCTTATAAATTAAAGAGCAATTTAGTAGCTTTATAATAGGAATACAACACTTTGATGTATGTTATACATATTTAATAAGTTATGCAACTTTTTATCTGTTCGAGCATTTCTTTTATTACTAATTATAGAAACAAATAATCAATATAATTAGGACTTCAAAGAATGTATCTTGTAGTAGGCCAAACCATCTTTTCTAAGGAGAGGCTTTTGTCCAGCAGTGGACAAGCAAAGGCTGTTGATGATGATTTCGATTATTCTTTGTTCTATATTTTGAAAATAGCTTTATATTTTATTAATTTAAACAACAAAAATATGTAAGTGAAATATCTTACCTCAATGAGCTCAAAAACTACAGGCTGTCCCAGACAATCACTTAATTTTTCTTTGATTTGTGAATTAATAGTTGAAAGGAGTTTGTCGTCGAGCCCTCTTGGATTCCTAAGGGTCACTAAGGGGCTACTATCAGGGTATTCCGGGGTTAACTTCACTTCAAGAGTCACACATACGAACTGCTGATCGATATCATCACCAGTCGAAGGATGTACAACTGTTTCGATGATGTCTGGCATTTCACCGACACGTTTGATCACTACATCATCCATCAAAATAGCTTCTAAAGCTTCAATCTCATCTGTAACTCTGAAAAAATGATAAAACATTGATCACATTGCTCAAAATTTAACACAGAAAAGATGTTTGAAAAAAAAAACACACCTTTCGTCTACGGCGGCCGACATGATGACTGAATACAAAATCTAGGCCCGGAATGTAGGAGGGGTGCATTCAGTTCAGACAGGCGCAATGCAGCTGATGCAGCCGAACAGCTGGGAGACTGACTAGAAAGCTCGACGAAAATCAATCATGATGAACTCTGGCGTAGATAATAAATATCTAATAGAGTTGAGCGCACGAAGTAAGTTTTAGTAGTTTCTTCGAGTTTAAAGTTATCTGATTATTGTTGGATTAAAACATAAAATTCATGGGCCCTTGATTTTTCTAAATTCCAGAACCTCTTCTCAAAAAACTACAAAAGGTTACTAATCATATAAAATTAATATTTCAGACACTTACAAAAGTTATATCAAGCTCTGTGAAAGGTCGATGAACGTCTTTGGCTACAAGCAGAAAACTGGTAGAAAAAACTGTGAATACTAAAATATTTGCTGATTTCATTCATTAAAAGTAACATTATAATTAAACCTTTTATGGTTTAGTATTGATTAAATAATATTTACATACTCTAAAACTAGCAGAATTTTTACTAAAAAACGGCAACACTGGCTTAGAGGAAATCCCTAATCAAACGTACACAGAAATTGTTTTTAACCCTACTATAATAGCGACTTTAATTTTTAATTCATACATAACATGCTACGTACGTATGTAGCTACTTCGTATAAATTAAAATGAAAAGGATAAAACCTATCTATGCTGTTATTAATAAAATATCAATAAAATAAAATAAATGTCAATTAAACATACTAGGTAGTAACTTGTAAATGTATCTACTTATACATTTATTATTAACGCAAATTTAGGTTTATTGAGGTGAACCTCAATCACGTGGAAAGCAAAGAGAAAATCGCTTAACACCGGTTCACTGTGAGGCCGTGGTGTCACTTCGGACAAGCCGGGCCATGTGCCGAAGCACGGATTATAGGTATGGAATAGAATCACAATCGCATGTAATAAATTATATGGTTAATAAATTTTATATTCACATCTGTGACAAATTTACACAACCCCACTATTACTAAATAAAAAAGGTCGTAATCTTTGATAAAATGAAAATGAATGAAATTTTGATTTATTTCAATGGCATTTATCTTTGTCTCTTGTCTTTGAAATCACAAACATTTGTGAAATCACTGTGATCAAAACCAATCATTTCATCAAATGAATATTATTTAAAAGTAGCAATAATTGCCATGTCTAGGCTTTACTATGCTTTAATTATTAGGGACGTTAAAAAACGCGCAGAAGTCAATGCCTCTGTTTTGATTACTTGTGATGTATAGTTGACCTTTATACATTACATATACAATACAATGACCTCTATTAAATACACGTGGGTATTAAAATCTCTTATGGACATGAATACAGCGCACGAATTTTATTCTATTAGAATATTCTTATAATAGAGAAATGGAAGAATATTATTTTCTTAACATCTTAAGAGAAACTTGAGGTGCACCATGCCAGACTGCATAACTGCAGTATAATGGCAACACGTGGAGGTAACACAAAGCACTAAAACTTGAATTTTTTTTAAAGTTGAAAGCAAATATGCTGTTTTTCTTTTACTTCTTTTAATAATTTGAGTGTATTTAATTAAAATGTATTTGAAGTGCCTCTCTAACGGTGTTTAGAAGTAATTGCAGTTAGCCAGCAAGTCTCATACAAGTGTGTATATTATATTTCTAAAGTAATATTCTATGAACCTATGGACTCTAAATGAAATATACACAATGGAAGGTCAAAATTATATACCTAATATAAATGTATGATGTAAATGATGACCAGAATAACTTGATTGGGGAATGTCATCTTGAAGAAAAAACGCCGGATTTTAATGATAATTCCACAAATTTAGGTGTAGGTATATGCTAATCCATTTAGATGTATCTTAACTCAATATATACAGCTAAAAAATGTATTCTTATAGTGACTATTTTTCTGTATAATGTTAACCTAATATAATAGATTCTGTAGATAACGCTGTAAGTGCATATTTAGTCATAGTTGGTTAAGCCATTCTTGTAATTATCTTTAGTGTGTTCTTCCTCCTTGCTCCGAGCCTCTTTCCGAAACTAGGTTGGGGTCAGCTTTAAATCTACTATGATGCGGCTGAGCTTCGATTTTATACGGGGAGCGGCTGCTATCAGACCTCCACAACCACTACCACTAGGCGATATCGAAGTTCTGTAGAAAGACTAGTTGAACTTTTAAAGGTTCCAACTACCCGTACCGATTGCTGATTGCACAGATGTTCTAATGAGAACAGGGACCGGCTTTACATGCCCTCTAAGAAACGGAGGGGTTTCGATGTGTTAAGAATGGTTACCCATCCCTAGACTAACCTGGCTAGGATTGCTTAACTTTGCAAAGTGAACCTACTCGATTACCACTTAGCCACACGCATCTCACCCAATTATCTTTAGTGATTTTAAATCCCCAATAAATTAATAAATAAAATAGCATATAGTATAGCTAGCTTGTTATAGTTATATAGTATTAAATGTTATAAGACATATTATGTAGGTAAGTAATGGAAAGACGATCAATTCAAATGGGTTCCTTATTTCCAGTCTTCCAACTTGTCTCGCCTGTGTTAAATCTAAATTTTCGTGTTTAACTTCATAATGATGAATATTATGTAAATGTGTTTCAAAATTTCTAGGACCAAGATCGATAGCGGGATTAGTAGTCGGAGGGCCTAGTGATTGGCCCGCACTGATATCTTCAACAATCGCAACGTCGAACGCATTCGCTGTCGAGAGCGAGTTGATGCTATGTGTGAGTGGAATCCACACAAGAGCACATGCGCTCTTGTGCTAGAAAAAGAACAAAACGCCTTCCTTAGATATCTATACAAGTGTGTCTACGGATACTATCCATGAATGTATCCCACAAATTTTCTTCTCGGCTGGCTATAATTCATTGGAAGTCAGACAGGAGATGCACCAACTTGCAATTATGTGTACCTAATATTTTTACAGGGCAAGTCGATACAAGAGCCCCTAATGATGAGTTGTGTCGATCTTCTACCTTCGCAACCGGTCTCATATGTTGTTTGACGTTTCATCATGTCGCATCGTGGCGCACGTAGTCACCCATACCACGCACTCTTTCTGTACTCAACGCTCTCCGCTAGACCCGACTGTGATTTGTTGCGGATGGATGAAGTATGCTTACGAGTCTGTGAGCAGGAAGAATGATTTTGGTTTTGATGTATATTAAAATATATCTTGTTTCTATTTGTATTTTTTTCGTGTTGATGTATATATATGTCTCTAATTATTGTAATTTGTAAAACCGTTATAATTAAAGTAAATAAATAAATAGATGGGAAATAAACTGCACCAATCCCTTTGATGTATTGAAGAGTATGTTGCTCTAGTGGTTAGTGAGCCGGACTGCTGAGCTATCATGAGATCAACTTTCAACACATAAAAAAAATGTGTCATGTGCATAATAATTTTTTGTACTGTCTGAAGTTAATTTATCTTCAAGACATGTATTTAGTTTTGATTTTAAATATCCTTTACCTTAAACGCAAGCGTTAAAAAAGTCTTAAAATTGTAGCGAACCCAATAGACTGGTAGCATTGGCACATTGAATAGAAATGAATGAAATAGGACTCCTGAGTTGCAGACGTTCATGGGCGACGATGGTCACTTTCCATCAGGTGACCCGTCTGCTCGTCTGCCGCCTCTAACATTAAAAAAAACCGTAGCAGTTGGTATGGTCTTACAAAGATATGAGGTGGTAAGGTACAAATTCGAAAAGAGCACATCAAAATCTATAAAAAATCAATTTTTAAAACTCCCGGTAAACTTGATAGGTAAAAATACCAAATGGTACAGCCATTGCAAGAATTATAAAATTGATTTTAATTTCTTCCAACAAATAGACAGACGATGATAAAACCAGCAGTCATTAGCGACTCATCTCGTCCTTCAAACGGACGCGAGCAATAGTGAGAAATATAAAAAATGCATTATGGTGCAACACTAAGTTTCTTAATTGTGATAGTGGCAAAAACAGTTTCCCAAACTTGCAACGAAAATGTAACCATCGTAGAACTAAAGAATAAATCTTATAGAGGTAAAATTTACAAAGATGGCGAATATTTTGTGGATAACGTCTCTGGAATTGAAAAAGGTTGCGTGTGTTTAAAAGAGATTTGTATAAAAAAGTGCTGTCATTTCGGTAAAGGGTACGATAGTAATGTTGATGAGTGTGTCTTCATAAAAGATCAGTTTAATCCGCAAGCCTGGGAGGGATCTTTAATGAGAGAAGTTGGATTTAATGCTTCCAAGGAATTTATTTTTGCTAAAACAAGAATTAATTGCACAAAAGACGAAAAAATAATTCAGATAGGTGATGCAACACATGATTACCAATTAACACTGGTAAGAAGTTTGTTTTTTGATAAATAAAGTTATGTAACCTCTAACTTGATGTAGTAACACATTAATATATATTTTTTAAATCCCAATCTTGACTAATATTATGTGAATGTGAGCTTGTATGTCAAGTGCTGAGTTTATATATGTATATAGGCACGCAAGAAGATTACACGTGCGATTTTAAGTACCTTTTATGTGTTAAACTGGTCTTTGAAAACAGTTTTATTGTTGCCAGCTGTTACTATGACCACTCGTTGATATTTATTTTCAGGTAAAAAAGCTATTACATTGACAAACTAGGGACAAAATACTCTCTAGTTGTGAACAGAGACTGAAATAATAATTGTATTAACAGTTTGTTTCTTTCGTTTTGTCCATAGAAAATAGATGTATTAAAAATAGAAAAGCAAACTGGAATAGTTACTTAATTGACAATTATAAAGTCCCGCGAAGAGACGTGGGTACATCAAATTGAATTGTCATAAAGGACCAACACTTGGATTTCAATTAGTCATCTCTTGTAATCAAACAATATGCGATATCTTGGAACACCGCATTCAAAAATCCAAACAAAGAAGCTTACTCAGATGGTATTATTCACTAAAACCTCACAATGCGAATTCTAACGTTTTAATATATTTGTTAAGTGTATAAACCAGTTTTGAACGAAAAGGACGAACTTAAAAGTATGCAAATTACTAAATTTTAAACTGTTGCGTGCCATGATATATAAATAAGTTATGTATCACATCACATCAACAGCCTATAATAGTCCACTGCTGGACATAGTCCTCTCCTTCTCCTTTATTTTATGTATATGTAAATATATACATTCACGTAAGAGGTAGATAAGGACCACGGTCTAAACGTCAAGCAATTAAAAAGTATGTAGTATCAGTGCGTGATCTCGTAAATTCTTACAAATGTATATCACATTATTGGATATTGTTATGTTTAGGCGCAATTTTATGTGAAACATAAATATTTTTTACTACCCGGCAGAGTTTAAAAAAAACTATAAAGATATCTAATTATCTAACGACACCCACAATATGGGATACACGAGAACAAAAATCATTCATCCTAACTTTATATGTAGGGGAAGTATTCCTTAAACATTGGTTTTTAACCAACATTTTCATTATGAAGAATATATGTACTTGTACGTGTGTTGTGTTGTGAATATATACGAAGAGTGATCAAAAATTAGCGAGAATGACCCATCTCACGACGTTCGACGAGTTACGGTCCGTTATTTAGTTCATGAGACCGGCATTTCATACGATAGAGTCATAGACTTCAATAGATATTAAAACATCATTTGAAAAGTGTCCGCGAGTTGGATACCGGCAATGTAAACGGAATCTCAAATTAAGAATAAACTTGACATTTCCTTCTGGTCCTCCTCCTGTCCTGACGTCCTGAGGTCCTGACGACTTTCACTACTTTGATGCGGAAACAAAACAACAATGTTAACAATGGAAAAGACCGTCATCTCCGACTCCAAAGAAATTTCGTGTCAGCATCGGCAGGCAATTTTTTTTGGGACTCGGAAGGAATATTAGTCTATCTTGAGCGGGGCGGCACAATAACGGATCAATACTACGAATGTATGATAGTTAAATTGAGGGAAGCTATGAAGGAGAAACGGCGTGTGAAACTGAACTGTTTCATCAAGACAACGCACCTGCTCACACTGCGACTGTTTCGCTGGCTTCCATTCGAGAAGCTGGGTTCGAATTGGTTGATTTCATACCATGTTTTACTTTTACTTATTACCAAGATTAAAACAACACTAGATATGGTAATGACTAAGAAGTGATGGACGCCGTGTAATTGTTTTTAGATGGGCAAGAATTGGTATTTTTTAAAGGGTTAGAGATATTAGAGAAACGCTGGGCTCGGTGTGTAGTGAGACTAGAGGACTATTATCTTCTGTGTCTCTCACTACTTCTTGATCACTTCTCATATCCATGTAAACGAAGCTGAAATTAGAATGAAAGCAACAATCTCTAAAGAACGCGGGCAGACGGAAAGAATGACAAGTATGGCAAAAATATAAGGTTTCCTTGTAACATAGAGCCCTAAAATTCTATCTTTTTACAGGATGGCAAGCTACAGGTCGTAATAGAAAATAATGTTCCTGGAACTTTAATCTATTCTCCAGACAAGTATTGCATCGATAACTTTGTGAGATATGGCGATAAAGTCACTGTACAGGATGCCTTAGTTTGCTTCTCTGAGACTAAAAGACCCAACCACTTATCACTAAGTGCTACCTGTAAGTATATATATGTACCTATGTAACTTATTTTTTAAAGACGACACTACACCACAGCCTTACACTAGCTTACATAGGGAAGTCCGTAAGCTTGTTTAAGGCCAAACACATTACGACCCATTTACGCAGCGTAGTCTCCTATATGACACAGCGTTTTTACCATTCTTCACGTAATGAATTCTCTTTTTCAGGTATGTTAGTTTCATGTTTCTTCATGATTCTTACAGTCGCCGTGTACGTCTTTCTGCCCGAACTTAGATACTCTGTTCCTGGTATGATTATGATTGCATTATTGATGAGTTTCTTTGCGAATTTCTTCTTTATGGCCGTTATGCAAATTTTGCTTTTGAGGGATAATATCAGTCGACTGTTATGTACTGTACTGAGTAAGTACTGTTAAATAATATTTGTATTTATTTATGATGTTGAAGATAAAATAGTGTAACAATAGTTGGCAGTTATAAAAATGTGTAGACTTGATAATTTTCAGGCAAGAGAGATGCAGAAACAATTATAGCAAAAATATAACACTTATGTACTATGCTTAAATCTTTTCGTCTCTATGGATTTATAGATCGAATACAATAATAAAAATGAGAGATACAATGTTGGTCTAGTCAACTCGTAGTGAGTCATCCTGACTTCTAAGCCAAAACATTAACATTAACGATTTACCCCGAAAAAGATGGCTATTAGTGATTGAGTTGTTTTAGTCACTGCAATTTCACCTGTGATAAATCACTACTGAGATTTGGTCATAAATGCCATTAAAAACTTAAGCAAAGAAAAACTGAAAAAAGGTGGGAGGTACGGTCTTTTCTGAAAGGTTTGAAGGTCATATCAGTCTGCAAATATTGCAATCGACAATATGAAAGCTACAAGTCTACATGTGGTATAAAGTTGTACAAAATCGACCAAAAAACAGTATCTAGTACGTTTTAAAATTAAAATTATTTTTATACATTTCAGCGTTCGTTATTTACTTCGCAATGAATGTAGGATTTTTTTGGCTGAATGTCATGTGTTACGACGTTTGGAAGAAATTCAGGTAAATACAAAAAATATGAACTTAATTTCGGCTCTTTGTTTTGGTACCTCCATATCGGGGTTTAACTAATGGAGGGTTTGTCGTTCTTTCATATTTGGTAAACTTAGGGTAGTTTCTGTTTCTTACTTTCTTTTTTAGTATTGTTTTGTGAATGTATGTTTGCCGATTTTTGGCATCGCACTATTAAACTTTACAGACATAATAATACTCCACTACACGTAGTAAAGTTCGTTAATTAAATAAAACAGCAGCCTGTTGAATATCAATCCAGAATAATCGGTCGTAAAGTATTTTTCTATTGTACGTCATCGCGCGCTCAGAAAGCAACGTAAGCTTCGATGAAATAAAGTACTCGTAGTTTATTTGATCGAAGACCGTAAGCTAATATTTTGCAGTATCGTTGCTGTTTTTATATTCTGTAACCATAGGATAATGTGCAAAACTGGGGTATTTTTTTAATAATAATAAATAATATTCTACCACATACACACAACGTCATCTAGTCCCAAACCAAGCAGAGCTTGTACTATGGGTACTAGACAACTGATATAAATACATTATATACTTATTTTTTGTAAATACATACATATTACACATAGAAACACCCAGACCAAATCAAACATCAAATGTTCATGCACACAAATGTTTGACTTGAGCGGGAATCGAACCCGCGACCTTTGGAATAGCAGTCCGTTACACAAACCACTACGCCATCCAGTAGTCAATTCCAATAATACTTGTAGTATTATTGGCATTATTCTAATAAATGCTAGTATCAAAGTATGCAATACAGGTTGGATGACTGTATTAAGTAAAATATTTCTACAGAAAGTTAAAAGTGTCCACAGGCGGTGTCTCAAGTGACGAGACCACTAAGATTCTATGGTACAGTGCGTATGCATTCGGCGTACCGACTGTTTTGACCATACTATTGGCAACACTAGAATTCTCCGGCCTGGAAGGTCATAAGCTACTACCTAATTTACGCCGCAGAACTTGCTTCATATCGGGTGAGATTTTCTTCTATTACTTAACTTTCAATACATATTTTATAAAATAATACTTTTTTGTATCATAATTTTATATAACAGAACTATGGTGCTAAAAAACTTAATCTCAATCTGCAAATGCATCGTATAGAATTGTAAATCCCCTTGGTTGACAATGCTGTACAATGCTATCTGATCGGTGATGATGATGATAAATGTGAGGAGGCGCGCTTACCAGTGCCTCGTGCCACTATGACTGTGTAGATGGGACGGGATTTCCCCTCCATCCGCTATAGCGTCCAGCCGTGAGGAGGCGACGCCGCGACGTCCACGTGTGCCTAAATAGAGAATTCACCTGAAGGTGGTGCCCGCGCTATTGCGGGCAGGTGCTAGGAGGGATCACCACCACCCCACCGCAAAACCCGATGGGGTGACGACTCAGGAGGGTTTCCACGCGTAAAAAGAGGGATTTTCAAAAGTCATAAAATACTAGGTGCTATTTTTGGATGGTGATGAACGAAAATTAATTAGATATTACTAGCTGAAAACGTAGAATGAAAGAAAATTACATATACGTAGGGATGTAACATGTGACTTAGTCTCTAATGTACACATGTTAGGAGGTAGTCTTGGAATTATAACTTAAATTAAAATAAATAAATAAATACTCAAACGATGAATGAATGAATTGTAAATAAAAACATGTTTCATTTGCAGGCACCAGTAAAATGATCTACTTGTACACACCAATGCTGTTGACATGCTTTTTAAACGTGGTATTCATTGCACTGGTAATTATTAGAATCTTACAGATCAAAAAACAAACCCAAAGGTTACAAAGGAAGGACGCACAACGGTAAGGCTAATCTAATTCTAGCTTAAACAAAGATACACACATAAAATACACAGACATAAAGATCTAAAAAAAGTCTCTTAGTCTATTATATTATCTTTTCAAACTGAAATGTCTAAATGTATGTATTTATATCAATTCTTATGCGTCGTTAACAAAGCAAACAGATTATTAAACAATACGCTTTACGCAAGGTACGCGACGGATGCTGTGGTGGTCCGTGTGGTGACGGATGTCTTAATCCGTCACCACACGGACCACACCACCCCTATTCATCCCGTGGGTATCGTAAGAGCCGACTAAAGGAACAAACTGCACAAGAGAACAGCACTGCAAAAAGAAGGAAAACTTGAAACAAACCCTATACTAACCCGTCTGGCCAGCGTGGTATAGTAGACCAAAACCTTCTTTCTAAGGAGAGGCCTATGTCCAGCAGTGGACTATTATAGGCTGTTGATGTGATGATGATGTGACACCTCATCGTAAAAGCAATATTTGTTCACTACCACTTTCTTATCTAACTTTCCTTTCCGAAAACTCTTAATTTTGTCATTAAGAAAATGTTGCATCGATTGCGGTTACATATAGTAGTTAAACACTAAATATAAATTAGATTTCACATTTAAATATTACATTCGTGTTCAATTAAGAACATTTTCCTTTCTTTTACAGGTTTCTGGTGTTCATCAAGTTATTTATTCTCACCGGTTTCAGTTGGATTTTCGAAGTGATCAGCGCCTTCTACCCGGAGTATGAGTACTCATGGCGATTCACTGACGCTTATAATGTTCTCCTTGGAGTCATAATATTTATAATGTTCGTCTGTAAAAAGAAAACATTGGCGAAAATTGCAAAGAGGTATTTTCCAGTGTTAGAGTTTGTAAATAAATTTAAAAGTAAGAGCGAAGGTTTTTTTAAAGATTCATTGTAGAAAATAAAACTCCATAAATTAGATTAGTAATAGGTAGATAGGATTGCTTATAATGGACACTTACATTAATTATGTTGATATAATGGCTTTAACTAGTTGTAATGTGGAAGGATCTATATGATGCTACTGCAAATTGAATAAAAAATAAATAAGGTAACTCAGAAATACATTTTACTTTGTGAAGAGCTTAATTCAGTCTAGAAAGATATAGTGGATCTAAAAATAAATTAAAACAAAATAAAGTAATTTTGGTCGGTATAATAAATAATAACACGCTAAAACAATTAAAATAGAGAATATGCACGTGACTCCAAAATGTACAAAATGTTTTTATTTATAAACTTTATTGCTAAAAAAGATATCTATACAATTATTTTTGAAATTTTTCATAATTTAATAGTGAAATTTATAATTATCCAAAAGTGGCTTTTCTAAAATTCCCTCGCAAATTCATAAACGCTATTGGTGGAACAAAACGTGACGTTAATTTCACTTGACTTCTTCTGTCAACAAAAGCTTTGTGTGGTTTCTAGTGATAATTATTTTGTATTGTTTCGTAGTTGTTTCATATTACGTAATTAGTTTTCTGTGTTAAAGTATTAAATCCTTGTGAAGAAAGACTTAACACAATGACTGAAACCGGTTTTGTCAAAGCACAATCACATGATCTTCGAAAAATAGACGTGTTTATGATGATCATAAATTGTTTAAACCATATAGTTCTTTTCAATCTGCAACCCAAAAATAAACTTAGAAAGGTAAATAAAAATAGTTTAGAACTTCCCTCTTACTAAACAATTTTTTTAGTTTAGTTTAGAGAGTTTTCGAACAACAGAATTAGCACCATTGTCTCTCTCATCGCTTTGCACTACTTTTTCCTTATACCTTTATATTTCGGCTATCTATCTTAAGGAAATAGACTTTGTCAGGTGCAGTTTAATGTTATTTTTCACGTAGTAAAGACACAATATTTATAATAAACTATTCTGTTCTTTTCCATTGTAATAAGTTGATTTTATCACTCACTTTTTCAACTTTCAGTAACTTTGTAAACCAAACACTTCGTCGTTGACATCAAACTCTCTGTAATCTGACGTCACAGAATAAGCGCGCTAAAATGGCCGCGTTTAAATTGCCCGATAATGATGGTGCTTTTTGTGAATTTCTTTTCGCTCAATGTTTCATATTTTGGGTGTGTTATATTTATTTTTGGAGATGTAATAACTAGTAAAAACGTTTAAAAATATAAAAAACGATATGCATATTCCCTATTGTAAAGAAATTAAAACAAAAATGCTTCAAATGAAGTGACTCTTTTCAGCTATAAGAACAAAATAAAGTAGTTTTGGATGGTATACTAAATAGTACTATGCTAAACGAGTATACTAAATAATAACACGCTACAACAATTATAACTGGAAATTACCAGTATCCCGAATAGTAATTGGTATGAATATATATAGACCTACAGCAGAAAACAAATTTATATTCCGATATCAAGTCCCAAAAAAGATGACAGAAATCTTACTTTCTTTACTATCTTACTACCTCATTCTTTAGACAATCCAGTAACGCAAAGATTCAAAAAACCTATAGTCCGTCAAGTCGAGTCCTATGAAAGAAGGCAGGCATGGAGGCAGGTCCTTAAAGTATATGTATAGAGAAATTTCAAGATGAATAAATTACAGAACCACATTTGATTAGGCACTAAATCTACTAGATTTGATTAAAGAAAAATAAGAAATAGTAGATTCTAAATGAAAGCAATCTGTTTTGCAAACTGGAGTTAATTAAACCTACAATTTATTGGAACCGTTGCATTTCTTTAGCTATGTTTTATTCAAAAGAAGATATCTTATTATACCGTAATAGTATTTATGAGGATTTTTTATCTAGCCACAGGTAAAAAATGTACTGCACACAAATTTAAATAAAATTAGTAAATACCTTTGAGACATAGCTGATATAGCTTTGAGACAATCAATAGTATTATATGTAAGGCATAGTTTTATATGATAAATACTCACATAAACATACTAAAAACATTTCACTAAACAGGAACCGAATGTGACCAACCTTTAAAGTTAATGTTGGATGCTTTATTTTCGTAGTTCGCTATCGTTTGATATTCCTAAAAGCAGAGAGATACAGTAGATAAAAAAATTAAAGTAATTGGTAAAATTTACATGTTAATAATGTCTTCAGGTACAGAACGACATGGGGTCATTTGGACGCTCCTCTTACTCCAACACCAGAAACTACTACTACTACTACCACAACACCAGAAACTACAAACGTTTCTCCCTTTGGAAGACATACAACTGCAAATATTGAATGAAAATGCATCAAAAAGAAATAGCTGAAGAGAAGATCGCACAAATTTCTAGTGTAAATAAAAAAAAAAATACAGTTTCGTTGTACGGAAACCGTCATTTTATGACAAGTATAATATGGGGTCTACCAATAAGAACGTCCTGGTTTAAAAATTGAATAAAACACACATTTTTTTATGAAAAATGCATCCGATTGATTTATTTGATAGATAATTTTATGCAATTTATGTTTTAAATAATATATCGGCCAAATGACCGCCGCGGCTCTTTTTATAGACGGTCAGAGACCCGCTCCCGCTCACGCCAATTTTCGATGACGCGGTGCACAATTTCAGAAGGTATGTCAGCTATGGCTCGTCGAATGTTGGTTTTTAGGTCACGAATTATAGCTGGATTATTGCTGTACACTTTAGTTTTAACGTCACCCCAAAGAAAATAGTCTAAAGGTGTTAAATCACACGATCTTGGTGGCCAACTGATCGGTCCATTACTCGAAATTAATGACTCACCAAACTTTCCACGCAATAATTCCATGTTCACTCGAGTAATATGAGGTGGTGCATCGTCTTGTTGAAAATAAAGGTCGTCTGCATCAATATCATCTAATTCCGGAAAGAAATATTCGGATAACATCGAGTTATAGCGCTCGCCATTCACAGTAACAGGGTTTCCTTCGTCACTTTCAAAAAAGTACGGACCAATGATTCCACTGTACCATAAACCGCACCAAACTGTTCTTTTTTGCGGATGCAATGGTGATTCTTGAACCACACGTGGATTTGACCTACTCCAATAGCGACAATTTTGTTTATTAACAAATCCATTGAGCCAGAAATGGGCCTCATCTGAGAAGATAATTTTACGATGAAAATCGTCATCGGCTTCCATCATTTCCAGTGCATAATCGGCAAATTCACGACGGATACAATGGTCGGATGGCTTCAATTCTTGTGCCAAAACAATTTTGTGTGGGTGTAGGCCCAAATTCAACCGCAAAATACGCCAGGTGGTCATTGGAGAGAGCCCCAACTCTTGTGAACGGCGCTGAACTGATCGATTTAAATTGCATCAACACTGGCCTGAACGGCTGCGATATTCTCTTCACTACGGGCATTACTTTGTCTCACAGGCACAGCAGTATCGTGGAGAGTGAATTCACTTTCAAATTTTGTTATTATGCGATTTATAGCGCGCACAGAAGGAGCACAATGACGACCGCTTTTGCGCGAAGCGCTCTTACTGTAGCGGTAGGAGATCGCGAATTTGCGTAATAATTTTGGACAATTTCCAAGCGTTGGTTTAAAGTGAAACGTGACATGATAAAATGGCAAACCTTACTGAACACAAATGTCAAGAGACGTCAAAGATCCATCATCAAACATGGCCGCTATGAGCTGTCAAAACCAGGTCATCCCTATTGGTAGACCCGGTATTTATGAAAACACTGCCCATACGATATAAAAAAAACCAGACAAATGCGAATCGGACTCGCCCACCGAGGGTTCCGTATAATTTTTTAGGTACATATTATAAACAGTTCATACAGTTTATACATACATATTATAAACAGTCCGAAATTCAGTTTCTAAACCCTATAATTATTTATATTATTGTTATTTATAACTGAAATTGTACATTGATGATTGATTACGTACTTTAAATAAAGACTTTATTTTTATGATGTAATTACCAATGTATAGTTTTCAGATTTTTCCCCGTACGATGTTACGTGTCAAATTTCATAGTTTTACTTGTACTCGTACTATGAAAGCTAGATGACTGATAGAATACTTATGTATGTTTTTTTTAAATACATATATATTATACATAGAAAACACCCAAACGCCGAAACAAGTATTTGCAGAGTATACAAACATTTGGTCCGACCCGGGGATTGAACTCGAGAATTCAGCACGTACTGTGCCGTCTTCCGGCTACATGGTACCATACTATTGTATTTTCACTGAAGATATGTACACATAATTTGAGCCTAGTTGGACATCGGGAAATAGTTTCAATGTTACATTTAAAAATATAAACATTGTGAGTGAAATACAACCTTGAAAAATATACCTTGCTATACCAACTTAATAAAGCGGCGTGTGGTGACGGATTAAGAATACGGAATATCACCACCCCTATTCATCCCGTGGGTGTCGTAAGAGCCGACTAAGGGAACAAACTGCACAGGACAACAGCACTGTAAAAAGAAGGAAAACTTGAAACAAAACCCTTTTTTTTTTTAACGTGTGGAAATCCCCTCGGACCGTCACCCCACCGGGGTTTGCGGCGGGGTGGTGTGTCGGACTCGGACCGACTAAAACCACACGGTGTGCCACTCTGCGCCTGGAATAGGAGGGATCCGGGAACAGCTGTTATTAAGACATCCGGACCCCTCCTAGCGCCAGCCCGCTCTTGTTGCGGGCCCCGTCTCAAAATTTTCCTCTCTTTAGGCGACGTCCGGCACACTCGGACACCGCCCCCTCGCGGCTGGCCAAACTAATGCGGGTGGAGGGGAAACCCACCCCGTCCACCCGCGGCCACACTCAGGGCGGCATGAGGCGGTGATAGGCGCGCCTCGGCCGCCCGGTTCGCCGACGGCGGATCGGGTCCGAGTGGAGGTCGTCCTCCCGGGCCTTCTCCGCCACCTCCTTCTGCGAGATTACTTCCTCGCAGAAGGTTGCGACCGTGGTAAAACAACTGTCGCTACCGGCCATGGAGCGTACTACGGCCGGTAGCGAGAGATCCACTCCGATGACTGCAGTGAGGGCCCGGCGCTGCGTCGCCCATGCGGGGCAGACCGCCAGCGTGTGCTGGGCCGAGTCCTCACTGCAGTCGCAGTGGTGGCAGGCGGGACTCAGTTCCCTCCTAGCGACCGAGTGCAGGTACTTTCCGAAGCAACCTATGGCTCTGACCGCCATTACCCTCTGAGGGCGCCAGAGGCGTGCCCTATTCTGGGCGGCCAGAGCCGCCGCCCACACCGGTGCACCGTATAGTGCCATTGACCGGACAACCCCCGTGTACAGCCGTCTTGTCGCGACGCTGGGTCCACCCAAATTGGGCAAAAGTCGCCCTAGGGCAGACACAGCGCCGACCAGCTTTGGCGCAAGATGTCGGAAGTGCTCGTCGAAGAGCCACCTCCCGTCGAGGATCAGGCCCAGATATTTCATCTGGGCCCGAACCGGTACGAGGACCGAGTTGACCACGATTGAGGCGCCAGGGGGTGGACCACGACGGGGTCCATGAAATAACAGGGCCTCCGTCTTATCTAGGGCCACCCGTAAGCCCAGCGCCTCAATGCGCCCGACCACCAGGGAGACTCCCATTGTGGCCAGGCGCGCCGCCTCTTGGAAGTTCGCCCCCCGGGCTGTCACCAGAGTATCGTCTGCGTAACAAATTACACCCAGCCCGGGCTCGGCTCGAAGGGCCCAGTCGTAACCTATGTTCCACAAGAGGGGTCCAAGAACAGACCCCTGTGGAACACCGCACGACATGGCCGACACCTCGAATTACCCTCTCGGTCCTCGTACACGACGGTACGCTCCTCTAAATAGTCTGCCACCAGCCGCCTCAGGTACTTTGGCACCCCATGATAGTGGAGTGCTTCCCTGATGCAGCTGAATGGCAGACTATTGAATGCGTTGGCGATGTCCAATGACACCGCCAACAGCACGCCGCCACAGCTCACGGCCTCTTCGGTCACGGCCCTCAGGCGCAAAACAGCGTCGACTGTCGAACGCCCCGCTCGAAAACCAAATTGGGCGTCCGACAGATCGGGGCCCACCTCGTAGAGGTGCCGGACGATGCGGGCAGAGAGAACCCTCTCAAACAATTTACCCGCCTCGTCCTGCAGCACAAAACCCTATACCAACCCGTCTGGCCAGCGTGGTATAGTAGGCTTTGGCCTCCTTTCTTAGGAGAGGCCTATGTCCAGCAGTGGACTATTATAGGCTGTATTGGTATTGGTATTGGTTGTGGGCTTCGGTTTCCGCATTTAGACTCAGAGTGGTCCTTTATGCGTCGGGGATTGGTTGACTAGGTGAGCCAGCCAAGCTCCTTCCAGAAGCGCAGAAGCCTCCTGGGGCGTTCACAGGCTTCTAGGAGCGACTTTATATCAGGAATGATATTTGCCCGTTGTGTGGCCACTCCCTCGCATTCCAGGACTACGTGGGCGGCCGTTTCTTCAGCTTCCAGACACCCCCTGCACAGGGGGCTGTCCGTCGCATTGACTATGAATAGTTGTCGGTTCAGGGCTAGATGTCCTGTAATAGTTCCGACAACCATTCTGATTTCCGGTCTGCTAAGACTGATCAGTCTGCAGGTTAGTCGTGGCGTGACTTGATTCAGCACCAGTTTGGACTGTCTGCAGCCGGGTGAGTTTTTCCACCTCCGGTTGTGTGCTTCACAGGTCCGTTGCCTGACCCAGCATCGTATTTGGTTAAACGATATGGGCAGGAGTGGGGTTGGGCCAGAGGTTCTGGTTGCCGAGCCCCTCCTTGCCAACTCATCTGCGGCATCGTTCCCGTGTGAGTTACTGTGCCCTTTAATCCATTGGAGGAGTACCCCATTGAATATAGCGAGCTGTTCCAGTGCTTGGTGGCATTCGAGGACAACACCAGAGGTCATTGTGTTGCCCTCCAATGCCTTTAAGACGGCCATGCTGTCGGATATTATTCGGATGTTGTAGTCCTTGATACCCCTTGACACGGCCGTTGTGGCGGCGTAAGTTATTGCCACACATTCACATTGAAATATGGAGCTGTGTTGGCCTAACGCTAGTGATATGTTTATATTTAGGTCTTGCGAGAAAACTCCGGCTCCAGTTCCTGACCTAGTCTTGGAACCGTCCGTGTAAATTCGGACTTCGTTAATGCCGGATTGATCTCGGTCATTTCCATGTATCTGGATGTAGTATCTTCTTGTGAAGATATGGTGTTTTGGGATTCTATCGCATGGAGCTGCTATCAGTGGTTCGTATTCCACCAATTGATCCCATAATTTAGAG